AAATTCTTCTGGTACATACAATTCCAATGGGATTTTTAAAAGTCTTTTGTAAAGACTTTATAGAATCTTTTGCCCTCTGCACAAAATGAAGTGGACCTTTTGCCAAGAAAAAAGATGTCAAATTTGTCCTGGTGCCAGCCATCCTTTCTTCCAATCTATTTTAGAAAGGAATTCTCTAGAAATGTGAATGATTGGGGGCTGGGACAATAGCACAGTGGTAGGGTGTTTGCTTTGCACATGGCCGACCTGGGTTCGATTTGCAGCATCCCATAAGCACCGCGAGGGGTAATTCCTGAGTGCAGAGCCAGGAGTAACTCCTGAGCATCGCCGGGTGTGACCCAAAAAGAAAAAAAAAGTGAAGGATCATACAATCTTGGAAATAAAGACCAAAGGATTTTTCCTACAGGCATTTTTGTTAGAACGACAAACTGAAAAACCTTTTGATATACTGCATTTGTGAAGGAATGAAGCATTTCCCCACCGGGCTTAATGAAAATGGAGCTTGAAGCCTCTCAGCTGTGACATTCCTGCTGACTCAGGAGGGCTCTTAGGAGGGTTTTCCCAGCAGCAACCCAGAAATCCACAGCGTTATCAGGAGATGGATCAGGCGAGGCACACAAAGACTCACAAGAGACTGTGACTAACACACTTAAAGTCATCTTTTATCTCAGTCCAGGAACTTGATACTAAGCACATTTTTACCCATTTATTAGATACTTCCAATCTTCACCTCCTACCGTATTCCCCTCACCCCCACTCCCTTTTTACAGGTTCATAGCAATCTCATGCTTGGCTCTGCACTATCACCCAGACTTTTGAGCTCAGACCTATGAGTAAATCTGAGCCCTAATCATGGTCCTTGGCCTCTCTCTTGAACAGCATGATCAACCATCTCTCTTTTCAAAAACATCTCCCAGAATCTAGTGCCTCTTACTGTTTTATCAATTATACCTATATCCTTCCTGGACCTCATCTGTCATACACCTTCTTTTTCATATTCCACTGCCCTTAGAAGACTTTCTCTAACCACCCAATCCAATACAGTGCTCTCAGCACTACCTTTCAATCAAATGTTTTGTTTTCATCTGACACCTGTTGTTGTCCGTACTTCTTATTTGTCTGTTTAATTTTGTATTGTTTATCACCTGAAAACATTAACAAGAGAAATGTTGTCTCACCGATTTATTGCTATATCCTTGGCATCTATTATGGTGCTAGAAATTTTGCTGGACACATGAATAAAGTAAAAAGTGAATACAATTTTAAATTTCAGAAAATTTAATTTCCAAAATATACTGACTCTTATTAACAAGTCTAAGTATTTCTGTTAGATGAGCCATTATTTACTTGTATGACCTTAAAGTCATTATTTACTTGTTGTACTCTCAGTTTCATCATTTGGGGAATGGATATGGTAATAGTCTTGATCTTATAAGTTTGTAAGAAATAAGGGAAAATATGTGCATTAACTATGCTTGCATGGGGTAGACATTCAATAAATATTATCAAAGATGCCCACAGTCTAATTACCTAAAAAGTTATGAATATTCCATACAGTTATGATCCCCAGCAAACTAAATGATGCAATGATAAATTCTATACATGTCTAACCTTTTCAATTCCCAACAAACTATGATACGCTTGACAATAAAGATCTTTACTCTATTTTCATCACTCCCTTAGGCCACCCCAATAGTTTCCTAATCATGATCCCTGTCTTCAAATGAGATCCTTTCTGCAGTGTTTTTATCAAGAAAATAGGCTCCATAATCAACTCCCTTTAGGGCCCTTCAATCCTATGGTCCCCTCTCTCCCACCAATCTTGTATGCAACTCATCTTCTCTCTGATAAGAACCATCCAGCACATTGTAAGGGAATATAGCACGGTGGTTGAGAGCATGGGATCTGGAACCAGACTTGTTGCCTTCAAATGTCAACCTCTTACTCACTTAGCTTCTCTATGCCTCAGATTTTTCCAGATTTATGAAAATGTCAAGGACAGTAACAAGACATATTAAACTTTTTGGAAGAGCCCCAAGGGGGCCTGTGTAGTGCTGTAGTGCTGGACCTAAGAATTGACCTATTCCATCTGCACAGGTGGGCCCAATACTGCTGGAAGTGGTTCCCAGACCCTCTGAGAGGTGTTTGGGAGTCGACTCAAAATATAATTTCACGGTATATATAAAGATTTAGCACAAGGCCTAATAGTAGTATTGATGAGCGATAGCACAGCAGTAGGGCGTTTGCCTTGCACGCAGCCAACATGGCCGACCCGAGTTCGATTCCTCTGCCCCTCTCGGAGAGCCTGGCAAGCTACCGAGAGTATCTCGCCCACACAGCAGAGCCTGGCAAGCCACCCGTGATGTATTCGATATGCCAGACACAGTAACAACAAAGTCTCCAATGGAGACGTTACTGGGCCTGCTCAAGCAAATCGATGATCAACGGGAGGGCCTTTACTTACTTACTTACTTAGTATTGATGACAAGGAGCATTATGAGTCAAAACTTGGTCATCTTTTTAGAATACAAATGAATCATTTCAAATATTTATACAAAAACATTTTAATTAATTTCATTCCAATAGAAAGAAATTCAAAATCCTACATGTAAGACCTAAGCATAATACTATCTACACTTACCCACCTTTACAACTTTCATCTCTCATATCCTATCCCTCAAAGTTGAATCTAGGATATTCAGAAATGTGGGATTTAACTGGTAAATATATCCTGCTTTTCCAAGAACACATTCTAGCATTTTATTTTGCTTCACGTACTGGCATTCCCTTCCTTATGCCCTCTACCTCTGATCCACCTGTTCATCCTTCAAAACCCAAACAAAAAGACCCCTTCCATTTCTCAGCAATCACATCTTAGGAAATCAGAGCACTGTAGTACTGTCCTCCCATTGTTCATCGATTTGCTCGAGCGGGCCCAGTAACATCTCCATTGTGAGACTTCTTGTTGCTGTGTTTGGCATATCAAATACATCATGGGTAGCTTGCCAGGTTTTGCCATGGGGATGAGATACTCTCGATAGCTTGCTGGGCTCTCCGAGAGGGGTGGAGGAATTAAACCTGGGTCAGCCGGCCACGTGCAAGGTAAATGCCCTTCCCACTATGCTATCGCTCCAGCCCAGAAAATCAGAAAGGGCAAATAATTTGTCTATTAAGTTTTCTATATCTCTTCTCTCTATGACCTCTTCAAGGTTAGGACTATTTTCTTCTCTTTTGCATAATGTCTCAGTTATAGAAGGTCCTCAAATTAAGAGTGTTGAGCAGAGCTTAGGCATATCTATGATAGTAGCGTATATAATGAGATAAAATTTATTCAGAGGGATTCCAAACCAAAAGTATTCTAGTAAGAAGATAAATAAAATAAGAGCAATTTTAATATTGAGCAACTTTGGTACCCATTATCTGGTTGATTTTGAATTTGATTTGACTTTTGATTTCTCTTTTTATGCAATTTTGTGCTTATATTTAGATCCTGAGCTATTTTATTAGAAGATTGGTTAAGGGAAAAAAATTGCAATTTTAAAATATTTTCAAAGTAAGTTATTTCCAGTTTTGATTTAATTTTTTCCTACTCCAAAGTAATTCAAAAACATCATGTTAAGTTTATGCCTTTATGTACTTCAATTTATTATTATGGCTTAAATATAATTTAGAAATCTTTCCAATGTGTTCCATAGACCATGATTATCTAAAACTAGATTTTAGGAAAACCAGCAAACAAACATAATTTCATGGGCAAGTGAGAAAACACCGAGAAAAAAATGTACTTTTAGAGGAAAAACACATATTCTATGTATCATACAGAATTTAAATACTTATTGTATGACTTTAATGAAAAAGAGCACTATAACACATAGAATCTGTGAGGTCCACCAATGAAGAAAACACTGTGTTTGAAACACTTTTCAAATGAAACTGTTTTGTCAGAGATGTCCTTGGAAAAAGTATTCATGAAACTCCTTAAGGAAATACTATGGCTATTGAGTCTCTCTGTGCCTAATATGATCGCCTCTGGGTCATAAGTAATCTTAACTCATGACATGGTTGGAAAGACTTTCAAAGAGCCTGTTACTCAGCTCCCAACCACCATCCCCTTCCAAATTATTATTTAGAGAAGTATTAAAAGAATGAAAAAATTATTGTTATGTAGTTCTCTCCTATTTTTTAAAATTTTATTCTAATCAAAACATTACCTATTTACCATGAGTTTACAATGCAATCTAATTTCAGGAGTCCATCTCCACACTTGCTATCCCATGATCAAATGCATCCCCTTTGTCTATTTTTCCTTTTTCTTCCCCTTTCCCTCTATTAACCACCATATTTTTCATAGAGTCTAAGTTGCTCGGTTATTTTTGCTTCAGTTTTATGTATATTCTACCTATGAGTGAAATTATCCAACAATTGTCTTTCACTTTCTGACTTATTTCACTTTGTATAATCAAGTTCCATTCGTGTCGCTATTAAGAGTGTGTCTTGACACAGAACCAAAAGTCTCTTTTACTGTAGATACTGTAGATTCATCTTGATTCAACTTCTCAGATTTGTATTTCAGTCCAAAAGTCTAAATAATCCTCTAGACTCTTAGGTCTTATCCATCCAAAGGCTTCCTTGTCTCTTCATCTGAAAAAAACAAATAAACAGGAGCATGATTTACAGATACCTGGCATACCAGGCCATCATTAATGCTCCAAAGTGATTTGAAGATAATGACTCTCTGCCTTTGAAGACTGAAAGGAAGCTCTCCATGCAGTGACAAACAGTGTGAAGAGTCCTAATTGGACAACAAAGCCACCTAACCCCTTTTATGAGGTGAGGAGTGTGTCTTAGGTAATAAACACTTAAGTAATTAGATGGTTTTTATAGAGATAGTTATAAAATGAAGCATACAGGGGAAATCCTGGTGATAGGCTAACGCCCAGAGAGGTGGGTATATAAGAGCCAGAGCAGAAGAGAGCGGCATTGAAACACTGAAACTTCTCTCCTCAGCCCAACCAACCCCCAACTCCTCGCACCATGTCTTGCTGTTGTCTTCCCCGTTGCTGCTGCAGCGTCCCCACTGGCCCTGCCACCACCATCTGCTCCTCTGACAAGTGCTGCAGGTGTGGAGTCTGCCTGCCCAGCACCTGCCCTCATGACATCAGCCTGCTGCAGCCCACCTGCTGTGACAATTGCCCCCCACCCTGCTGTGAGCCTGACACCTACGTGGCATCTTGCTGGCTGCTCAACTCTTCCCACCCAACCCCTGGCATGAGTGGGATTGATCTGACCACCTATGTTCAGCCTGGCTGTGCGAGTCCCTGTGAGCCCTGCTGTTAAGCTGCTGCCGTGGTCTTTGGAAAGTTCAGTGATGCAGCGGCAACATCCAGTGTGCCACACCGCCATCAACACCTGCTCCCCCTTCCATTTCCCTCAGCCCATCCCAGTTCCATGTTTTCATGGAATGTGCCCTTCTTCTGCCATCTTTCCTCTTTGGGGTAGAGCTGGAGACCTTTCTTCTAGCCTCTCTCACTGCTTTTTGACAAATGACTCTTTTTTTTTTGACTCTTTGCTAATAAATCTTAATCTGGCTTAGCAACAATAGCCTTGTGGTGATTCCTTCTTGTCTTTCTTCTTAAGAAACGTGGAATGTCTCCCTAAACCTGAACTGAAGGTCATCCTAGAACCTAAGAGACAATCCAGCCGAAGGAGAGTTCTTATGGTGGGATAATTGAAAAGTTAGAAGCTAGTCTTTTGGAATGGGTTAAAAAGTAGCTCACTGTGAGTGCTAGAGACATAGTATGGTGATAAAGATGCTTGCCTTGCATGTCGTGGCTGGCCCAGCTTGATAATTGACACCTCATATGGTCCCCTAGTACCTTCTAGAAGTGATCCCTGAACTCAGAGCTGGGTCTAAGCCTCGAGCACTACTGGATGTGGTTCAAAAAATAAAACAAAAAATTAATTGAAAAATGAAACGTGGGTTACTTCTTAGGAGTTTTTCTTTGGACAATCATACCAAGGAATAGTATGATTAGGTGGGGTGGGGAGGCATCCCAAACAGTTCTCAAGGCCTGGGGATAAACCTGGGTTCAATGCTTTGTCTAGCAGTGCTGGACGAACTCAGGGGTACTTGGTGCTAGCGACTAATCTGGTTGTTTGCTTTTGCCTTTTTGGGATATGGGATGACTCTCAGTGGTGTTTGAGGTTGTTTCTGGCTCTATACTCAGGCATCACCCCTGGGCGTGCTCAAGGAACTATATATAGTGCTGGAAATTGAACTGGGATTGACTACCTTCAAAGCAAGCGCCATAACCCACTAATACATGTTTACAAATAACTTACCTAATTTGAATTACTATTTAAATGGATTTTTCTTCATTAATTGACTTAAATTTATCATTTTGCTGGTGTGTAGAAATAATTTTGACTTTGGATCATGATGATGAATAAAATTCTACATTCATAATAACATATATTTAGAGAAGTATGTGTATCCATTTCATGATATATGCTACCTTTAAAGAAAATCCATTTTTCATAACTATTGGCAATTATTGAATTCCTTGTTTCTTTCAATCAGGCTTGGTTTGCATTAGTCATAATTATGTTTAGAATTTTATTAGTCAAGTGACATAATATCATGCTATTTAAAAATACCAAAAATATCAGGCAATAGTGAAATATTCTCTATACACCAGAAATAGTCATACAAACTGGGAGAAAGAATGAATACAGTTCCTCTCAGAGTGAAATTTTTATTAGTTCTTCTGGAAAAATCCAGGACTTTACAGAAAGCACCCAGAGAGTGGTCAAGCTGTGTATTTTTTATGCTTACCTTGAGATTTGAAGTCATTTATTTCCCTTTGTGTCATATTAAAATATTTAAAAATCATTTATTTCCCTCAGTTTGCCTGAATAAGAGCAGAAACAATATTTCTCTGCCCTGTTTATGTTTTAGGATTGTAGGCATCAAATGACACAAAGTGCCCACACCTGCACATGTCCACTCAGAAGTGTGAGACACCTACCCCCAGTGGATGAGGATTCCTTTCTAACAATAATCCCACCAATAAACACTGACTATGTCCAGACGTTTTTGATATATGCTAGTCTCACAGCATGAAATGATATCTTACTGGCTTTTGATTTGCGTCTCCTTAATCATGAGTGATGATGAGGATTTTTTCATATACCTGTTGACAATTGTGTGTCTTCTCTGCAAAAGTACCTGGTCATCTTCTCACATCATTTGAGGATGGGGTCATTAAATTTTTGCTTGTTTTGTTTCGGGACCACAGCCAGTGGTGCTCAGGGTATACTCCTGGCTCTACACTCAAGGGATCCCTCCTGGAAGGGAGGCTGATCCTGATCCTGGCAGGCTCAGAGGATCACATGGGGTTCAGCGATCAAACCCAGGTCAGTGGCGTGCAAGGATATCAACCCTATCTGATGTATTGTGTGCATAATACAATACATGGTACATAAACCTTTTGAAATAGTTCTGGATTCACTTGGCTGTTTTTTGTATTCTTCAGACGAATACCCAGTAGAATTTCTGGGCCATAGGCTATTTCCCTAAAATTTTAGAACTATCCATAGTATTTTCCACAGTGGCTGTACAAGTTAATGTACCACCAGAAAAACTGCTTATTTCTAAAGTGAAAAGAGGATTTAAAAAAAATTGGATTACATCAACAGTCTTTTTTTTTTCTTACTATTGCTTCCCATCACAATCTCAATATCTGTTATCACACTTAACCTTCAAGCCTCAGGTCCAAGTGGTTCTGATTCCTGAATCAATCCTGGAAAAATCTAATTAGAGCCTTATTAAGGTAGAGTCTACAATAACATTAATCTTCATGATCCCAGTGCCCAGGGTGAGTGCCATCTTCCTGTGTTGATCCCTTGAGCTCTCTATCAATGTGCTCTTCCTCTGTCCCTTGAGTTTCTTGCTTGCCTTTCCTTCTTCCAAGTTTTAAGATACACTTTACAAGTAACCTTAGTTAAGGTATACACAATATGATAATATTATATACATATTTATGCTCTGAAACAATTATCACACAACTAGTTAATATCCATTTTCTCACATAGTGACAGGGTTCTCCCTGTGATGAGAACTTTAAAAATCTACTCTCAGCAACTTTTCAATTCTATCTATAGTGCAATGCAGTTATCTAATCTACATCATAATGTGCAGTGTGTCTCAGGATTATATCTTGTGTCCAGAAGTTTATACCTTTAGATTAACTCCACCCATTTTTCCCCAACCTTCAACTCTTCCTGGTAACTACTAATCCAGTCTCTCAACCGTGGAGGGAATTGGCCACTATTGAGCAGGAGGTAGTGCTGGAAGGTAGTAATAATAATTATTAACTAGTAAAAATAATTACTGTTACTGATAATCCCTATCAGTAACAGATTTGTAAGTAACAGTGACCAAAAAAAGTTTCTATTCTTTTCCTCAGTACCCCGAGAAGGAAACTGAGAACACTGGTGTGGGAATTAGTGTTGAAACTCAAATCAGGAGATTTTATGGCTGAAACTCAGTCCATGAGTAACTCTGTAAATCATGGTGCTTCAATAAAATTTGTTTTTTTAAATATGATCTCTCACCCTAAGACTTTGACAAATGACATAACTGAGCATTCATCTTTCTCTATCTGATTCATTTCACTTAGGATAATACCTAAAAACAGATAATGTTCATCAGTATATTGGGAAACGACAGGCTTTCTTCATGACTGGGTAAAATTCCACTGTGTATATATGTCACATGTTTTTTAGCTTCTATTCATTCAGAGATAAATGTTATTTCCATCCTGACTATTGCGAACATTTCTTTCTAGTCAAACTTTACATTCTGATTATCAATGTCACCACAGAAAAACAGTGGCTCTATCATTCACCTTATACTTATGTTGAAATGCAGAAACTTTGGCAACTGAAACACATTTTAATAATTAATTTAATTTTTAATTAAAACACATTTTAATATTCTGAGCAGTTTCAGTAACCTAGATCAGGAGTACAGGAAACTATCCATAAAGTTAACAATAATTTGTTCTTGATAATAGAATAGAAAACCAAGTTATTTTATTTTTATTTCACGTTGTTCTTGGCATTCAAACTTTCTTCCCATCTCACTGACCTTCATCACCACACTCCTCAACACAGCCATAATATCCTAGTTGACCTGGAGTCAGGAATTTGTGCTTCTCTCTTCCTCTACCCAAACTCTTCCTCTATCAGATCAGATTTCTGGCTTCTTTTTAAATTTGGTTAATTTAAATTGATCTAGGATGAATCCTGGGTTGGTTGTTTGTGTTTTCACTGAATTGAACTGTCAGTGACTCTCAAGACTCTCAAGAATACCATCACTTCTTGATATCTGCAATTGTTTGTTCATTGCAGCACTCTTTACAATAGCCAGAATCTGGAAAAAACCTGAGTGCCCAAGAACAGATGACTGGTTAAAGAAACTTTGGTACATCTACACAATGGAGTACTATGTAGCTGTTAGAAAAGATGAAGTTATGAAATTTACATACAAGTGGTACTACATGGAAAGTATCATGTTAAGCGAAATGAGTCAGAAAGAGTGGGATAGACACAGAAAGATTGCATTCATCTGGGGAACATAAAGCAACAAAAAGGGAGAGTAACACCCAGGAATGGCTGAGATTAGTACCAGGAATTTTGCTCCATGAATGGAAGGCCAGCCACAGGCTCTAGGTGAAAAGGAAGCTCAGATAGAGAAGAGAGTACCAAATGAAGGGTGTTGTGAGGGTCCTCCCAGGGTGGGAGAAGCATGCTAAAAGTAGTCGATAGACCAAACATGATTGCCACTCAAAGCCTCTCTTGCAAAACACAGTACCCAAAAGAAGAGAGAGAGAACAAGGGGGAATACCCTGCCACAGAGGCAGGATGGGACGGGGTGTGGGGGGGGGGGTGGGAATGAGGGTGGGGGGGGATGCTGGGACCCATGGGGATGGATGATGGGCACCGGTGGAGGGATGGGCACTTGATCATTGTATAACTGAAACCCAAGCACAAAATTTGTAAGCCTATAACTGTACCTCATGGTTTTTCACTAATAAAAAAAGAAAAAAAAAAAGAATACCATCACTTCTATAGCACAGCGGGTAGGGTGTTTGCCTTGCACGCAGCCGACCCGGGTTTGATTCCCAGCATCCCATATGGTCCCCCGAGCACCGCCAGGAGTAATTCCTAAGTGCATCAGCCAGGAATAACCCCTATGCATCGCCGGGTGAGACCCAAAAAGAAAAAAAAAAAAAGAAAAAAAAAAGAATACCATCACTTTTACCAAAACTTGCTTCCAATTAATCTTGGCATACCTTGCAGCCTACACCATGCTCAGAGCCATGTGCCTCAAGCAGTGATCAAGAACTGATCTGAACACAGACAGTTGTACTTTAAGTCAGACCCTATTACTTATGAGTTATTTG